TTTATAGCGTTTTTTTAGCGAAAAGACTTATAGCAAGTATATTATAATAAAATATCAGATTCATTTTTATTCGAAACTGACGGTGCTGTGCATATATTATATATATTCACATATGCATGTAGAGGATCTTTGTAGATTAACAGATTCGGTTAAATTAGACCGATCACTGTGGACGGCTAAAATATAAATTTGTATCACATGAGATATCCCTCGTTCCCTGCTAGTTCCATGACAGTTCCATGACACTTTCATGGCGCTGAGTGGTTTCTCAAATCACGGGTGATCGGCCCTTTTTTGAAGCATAGCTTCTGCAAAAGTTAATCTAACTATTTTCGAGAAAAAATGAAATGTGCCACAATACGGTTTTAATTATTTGATGAGCAGTCATAAATTAAAAAGGAGAAAGGCCCGATATGAGCAAACTTTATGTTTATCAAAGAATTTTTTTTCACTTCGATGCGTGACATGCATGTCACGGGCGCAGTAATAGTATTTTATCTACAAAGCATTTTAACAATTACATATTTAATGTCATCCCAAGATAAACCCGTAATAGTTGATAGTGAAAAAGTTTTAACTCGTCCTATCATTGCCCTACCCTTATCTGCATCTAACCTCGTCTTTTCACACATATGGGAAAAAATGCCAAAGACTTTGATCGTTACCAATGGTAACGGCTTTTACCAAAAATTATGAACTAACTATATTATCTGACCATGAATTATGCGAGTGGGCAGTCATTCAATGACTTTATCGCCCGGATACGTTACTACTTCATTGGCGAATTGCTACTTGAGGTTATTACATTGCGCAAAAAATTGGAATCATACACATGACAATTTGATGGATTGATTCTGAGAAATGTTTCAAGGGGAGTAAATTATCAAAATTGTCACAAAAATATGTAATACTATTCAAAATAAACCACTCACTAATGTATTGCATTACAGTAACTGGATAATAAATCATGTAATTTCACGATTGGCAAAAATACAGAAATATTTTTATAACCTGATGTTTCTTCTCTATTATATGGTGACGTGTGGGTGATCCATGGGTGTCCGAACTTTTTGGTTTACTCAACCTTGATCTTCTTGTCAAACAAGCGATTTTTAGCAATCCATACAAATAAGTATTGTATATTGGTTAAAAATTATATATGTAAAAGTCATTGCCAGAAGAATCGTCGTGTGATGTACAGTATCTAGAAAAATCATATGCGCGTAAACAATGCCAAGTATTATTTCAGTTATTCCTGATGCATCATATTATATAGGCAAATTTTATTTCCATTGTGCTTTAACAATTTCATTATTAAAAAGTATATAATAGCTAGTTTATATTAACTATGTATTGTATGCAAAAAAATCTTATTGTTTAAGTAATAATTTGAGCTGTGGAGTGGTTGGCATTTTCCTAATAAACTTCACATTTTCAATTTGTTCAGGTGGTGTATAAGAACCCGGTGGTGGCCGATTTTCATAATCGTTTATGATTTCACCAACATGTTGCTACAAATACGAAGTGCAATGGAGTTTGTAAACAAAACTTTATAATAAATCAAAATAAAACATTCCGTTTACCTCTATCATTACAAAATGGGAAAATGTCAATACAATCAGCGGAAAAGATCCCTTATCAGTTGTTAACTTGTTTTTAAAACATGGCCATGATCTGTATACACCGTCATATGCTAAGTCAATAACAAATGATTCTATGGTATCTCCTATATTATCAAATGAATTTTGTAAATAAAACATTGCGGAAACAGCAAGTATATAATTATTATAGATATATACCCATGTTTAAAAAAGCCATTGATTTGTTAGGTCCCCCCTTTCCTAGCAACTGGTTAATTGATTTCTTTCCTTTGAGATGTACTTTTACGAAATCTTGGTCTTTCCTATACTGAGTGTAACCCAAAGGCTTAATTTCGGAATTTAATATCGCGATGTCATCAATTACACAGCTAAAGTCCGGCCTTTGTTTTCCATTTACACTCTTATTAAATTCCAGAGTGTAAGGTGTGTATTCTCCACCAAAAATGATTTTTATAAAAGGGTCTAAGTTATAAATATTGTGCTTAGTTTCGGTTTCTTTCTGTTTTGATGACAGTGGAATCTCGCCTTTACTAAGAGAAAAGATAATAAAATTTATTATTATTCCAATAGATAATTCCTTTATTTTTTGATAATTTTCTGTAATACAATAGCTTACATGTAGTCAAATATGCGTCTAGCTTTGTCACTTAATTCACAATTATCATCTAGCGTAAATCTACAATTCAATCCGAGTGAAAAATCATTTGTCGCTTTATAGAATGCGGTTAAGAGTGAATCTGTCAGAATAGGTTGCGTGATTTTATATGGATTTGAGTTAAGGACTTGTCGCCATTCGGAACTTGTAAACGTAGAGTAGGGACAAGGCCAGCACATTACAATTATTGACGATAGGGCCCTAAAATATAATAGAGAAATTAATTCAATACGACTTCATAAGTAAATGCAACAGATATTTTTGGAGTACTTACAATAGTTCTAATGTATTGTTCCACGTCAATTTTGTTTTTTTCTGCCTAATACCTGCGATTAGTTGTCTTTGATACTCCTTAAATTTTCTCGACACGTTAACCGTGCCTACTTCCCACTAAAACGTAAAAATAACATAACTTAAATACGATAAATAGAATCGAAAGTTCAGTTGCTACTATATACCTCATTTAATGAACTGAATGTTATTTGCTGTTCTAATTCTTCTAGATCATCACATTTAATTTCTATTTTTTCATCGGCGCTGGAAATTTGTTCGTCAGCCTCCTCAATAGGCGATCTTGAAAAATTAGAACTCGTAGATCCTTCGGCTCTATTGTTGGGGTCATCAGAATCATTGTTATCTATGTCGTCTTCATTTCTGGCGGTTGTTTTGGCCTATTCACGTATAAACAAGTAGAAAATTTTTTCAGAGGAATTCGCGTGAATAAATCCTTAACATTGGGTTGCATTCTATACACACTTTCTTAGGAACTAAGCCAACCGATTTTTTATCCTGTGGATATAATAAGAAGTCATTAAAAAAATGCTCATCATAAAATTCAAGGCGACATTTTTATATCAGAGAAAATCTTTACTAACTTTTTTCGGGATTGACAAATTTTTTCTCCGCTTTTGTTTATTGACTGGTTTAGCTGTAGACGTTTCCTGAGCCTGTGTGTAAGAGTCATGTCGAGGGGGTAAAGTTACAACACATTCGAATGTTAAAATAGGGATATCGGATATTTTCATCGTTTTCGATCATTTCTACTCTTGCTGGATTATTTTTCTCTCGAGTCTATTCAAAATCAAAATACAAAAATACAAGTATATACCTCCTGACCCGACTCTTCGTTTCTGGCCTGTATGCATATCAAAAAGAAAGAAAAGATGAGTGATATTTTTGTGTTGTCTACAGGTTGTATTCTGTACTAACCTTCTTAGTCCTCTCAGAAGAAGTTAGTATTGTTCTATTTAAGGGGCGTTTGGACGTGGATGATACGTCAATGAAAAAAGAGTCCGAAAATCCTTCCGATGAGAGATCTTCAACATTATATTTTCCAGCATCGTTTAAAAGATTAAGACTTCCAATAATGTGGGTGCGCTTCACTTCCAACTATTTTGCATGTTAGTCAAGGTTAGCAAGAATGAAAGACAGTGATATATAAAATTTAAGTTACCTTCTTCCGTTTATGGATCACACCCTCCCAATAGACCTGCAACCCTTTATCTGAACGTTCAGAATCCACCTGTTGCAGGAAGAAAAGGTAATAATGTAAAAGTAAAAGTTTGTAAGATAATACAATTGCAAACGACAGCAAATAGCAACTTCAAGAAAGGAAAATGTAAGTTCGCAATGGTGAAGCTCAGGACGTAGACTGATACTCTTGAGTCAGGACGTAGACTGATCAAGAGTGCCACCAACCATCACTTGGGTCAGGACGTAGACTGATACTCCTGATCAGGACGTAGACTAATCAGAAGCTCCCTTGAATAAACAAATGAAAAAAAATACCTTGACCTTTAAAGCCCCAAATTCTTTTGGTTTTAAATTTTCCGCTTTTTTTTAGGAATCTACGTGTCCAGGTGCCGTCGAGTCCGTTCCACTCATCAGTAAACGGAGGTGAAGATATAATCACATCACGATAGAGAGTTAGAAACTCGTAATAAGACCAGCTTGTGTGCTCGTCCAAGTAAGTAAGAAGGGCTAGAAAGGTCATAAGCTTGGAGGAAAAAAATTTTTTGGATAAGTTGAGTACGGAACTTACCAAAGTAACCAGGGTAGCACTCGGGCGAGGACATTTGCAAATTTAACAGTTAAGGGTTTTTTTTACAGTAAAACTATTATTTTATTTGAAAATTTGAAAACAAAATGTAATAAGTTATACACGTGCTATATACCGTGTTACAGTGTTACAAACACAAATCGAAATTTTATTAATTTTTCAGATACATTTCTGACAGAGATAGCGAATGAAATATATGATGCTATCAAAGAGGGAGGGAGTACGCGGATCCTAGGCCATTAAATGCGAGTCCCAGCATCAAGTTATTTCTTTGAAATTTTTATAACTAATATATTTCTATCACTATTACTAAATACGAGATTCTTATCCCCACACTCTTTTATTACACTAGATTTCCTAAATAAATTATCCCACCCATTTCTATCTATATCACTAACACCCGCACAAACTATGTAAAAGATTATTTCACGTAAGAGACTTTTGCTGTGCCGTTGCATGTGACGAGATTCATTTCACTGCGCCTATTATACGCGTGACGATGGTCAAAGATT